GGAAAATCCATGAAGGAAGCAGGTTGTCCCGCCCGCCCTCCCTGAATGTTGTGGTTTACGTTGGTTATGAGGTTCTGTTTATGTCACAGCAGCTTGACGGGTTTGGGGGTCTTTGGGGGGTCTGTAAATCGGAGTCAATTACAAAGATGGGGAGGCCATCAGCTGGTATGAGTGTCAGTATTTGTAGGGGGGCCTGGCCACTTAGAACTGGGGAGCAGTAACTGTCCTCAAGCTGGTTGGGGTGCGGCTGGGGACATGGGAGGAGTTTTTTTAGGAGAGGCCTTATTTGGGCTGTTGAGCACCCAAAGATCCCTTCTCAGATCAACAGTCGTTGAGTATTTATTTGTATAATTATTTGGTTTATTACTTTGGCTATTGTTAAAGTTGGTTTGTTTAATAAAAGGGCTGCTGTGGCCGTTAAAATCCATGTCGCGCAGTCTGTGTTTTATGGGGGGTTTTGTTTTAACAGAGGGACTAAATCGACTAATCCATCATGCACCACAGCACACCAGAGTATAAACGAAGCCTTGAGGGCCTATTCACATCAGCAGCTTTCAAATGTAAAAATGAAATTTCATTTATGTTTATGCACCTCCTGTGATTTGCAATGTTGTGTATTGTGTGTCAATATGCTGCACTGCTTAAAAATGCATCATGACCTACTTTTTGTAGCACATACCAACACAAGCATGGTGGTGTAAACTGAGCCAATAGGACAAATTGCCTCATGTATGTATTGGGAGTGCACTGGGCAAGGCTGCCCAGCCCAGTCCAACGCATATGGTGTGAATGGGGGAGATTGGATGACTCTCACAAATTGCTTAATGGGACTCAAGTGCAACCATTCACATGTATCCATCCAGACTGTGTTTTCCCTGCAAAATATCACCCCTGGAAGCAAACCGTTTGCGTTCAGGGGCAACTGTCTAATCGCACTATGAATGATTACATCTGAATGGCTGCTGTTCGCATGAGTGTAACAGAGTAACTTGTAACACTCATCGACTGACCGACTTTGAAAAGCCTGGTGAAGCCCTATTGGTTTTTGGGTCCATTATATTTTATTTTTATTAAATTCTCTTCTTAAAAATGTTAACATGTTTGTTTTTTCCACAATAAATAAGAAAATGCAGCAATCTCTGTATGATCACTTTAATTGCTTGCCATCCGCCCGTTCTAATTAAACGGTTGGACGGCTCGCACTTGAGGGTGAGTGGACGTTTTGAAATGTCTTTTCAAATGTCAATGTCAATCCTGTGCTTGATCATCTGTATAGGAGTGCAGGCGAGACATCAGGAGCTTAATAGACCACTAATATCTCCATAAAGAGAACCTGTCGCCTCCAAATGCTGTCACATAGGGGCTTGTTATCCCCTTTGTGATAGCAAAAGTTATGTGAGAAAAAAAAATTTAAGTGATAAAAAGTAAAAATAATAAAATAAATAAAAAAAATGTAAAACCAACTCTGCCGCCTCCACCATCTGATTCGAATGAACACATGCACATAGGGCATGCACGTGTATGTAAATGGGGAGTTCTAATAAAAAAGTAGACTTCAGAAACGCGGACTGAGTGACCGTTCTGTTCGGACTGCAGTTCAGACCTCTGCTCGATTAAAATGTTACTCACTGGACCCCCTTGAAATTTGTATTCACTTTCCCAGCATATACTATCCTGTTAGAACATCAGAATTGTAATAAGAATACATAAATTGTTTTTGCTAATGCAATCAAAGCTTACTTGAGAAAAATCCCTGTTATGTAGTGAGTTCCGCCTTCAGTCTGCCCATCACTTTCAACAACTTTCTGGACTCCCAGTTTTTCTTTTCATCGCTTTCCCTGCTGCTTGATGTGATGTAATTGTCATTTTTAAGACTACATAGCCCATCATGCATTGCATCCAGCAAGCAATTATAATGTTACATTAGGAAAAGTTCAGACAGCAGGCCTAGTTAGAGTTGTGACACAAGGAAGTGCCTATTCAGGGCTGAGTGAAATTGTATCAGTGCATTACATTGCAATGCATCCTATTGGCCTCTGCAATAAGTAAGTTTACAAAGTCTAGATTGATGAGGTTATTAGGAGTGGGATAGAACCTATGGATATTCAATACAAAAAAATATATATATACCATTTTTTTGTTTGTTTTTGACTATAGATACCCTTTAATGTACATAATTTTTCTTTGTGTATTTTACAGGCTGAATTAGAAGTTATTATTGTCTGAATAAAGAAGAGCACACTGATGTTCTACCTTGGCTCTGGTCATGGTTAGTAAGAGTGGAAAGTCACCAGTTGGCCAAAAACTTAATGAAAGCTTTGAAGACAAGCATGATAGAAGAATAGAATTTCATGAGGTCTTGAGAAGTCGCCATAATATCACCTCTTGCCGCCATGATGGTCCAGCCTGGGGCAAGGATCAAGAGAAGCATTCTCCACGTGAGCAGGAGTTCTTCAGGAGGAGACATCTTTGGACTGATGATTTTGGAGAGAAAAGACTAAGGTCGCCACCCAAATCAAAGAGCTCTATTAGATATTCACCCATGAAACAAAATCCAAACACACCCACTCTGAAAGACTGGCAGCATTTATCATCCGACAGTAAGGTAAATGTTGATATTTTATATGTTATATATGAAATGTTCCTCATTTGATAAGTAGCATGATAACCGTTATGCACCATTAATATTGGAATGACCCAGTTACATTCTAGAGGGCATTTCATTTCAGGTTATTACATAATGGAACATACTGTACATTGATTAGCCATAACATGCCATGATGTGTTGGAAACAGAAAAAATGGGTAAGCATAATGATTTGAGTGACTTTGACAAGGGCCAAATTGTGATGGCTCGATGACTGGATCAGAGCAACTCCAACACTGCAGCTCTCGTGGGATGTTCTTCGTTTGCAATGGTCAGGACCTACCAAAAGTGGTCCAAGGAAGGAAAACTAGTGAACCAGCAACAGAGTCATGGGCGGCCGGAACTCATTGACACATGCGGGGTGCATGGCTGGCCTGTGCAGTCCGATCCAATAGAAGGGCTACCTTAGCTCAAATTGCGAAAACGTTAATCCTGGTTCTGATAGAAAGCCGTCTGAACACAGTGCATCACAGTTTGTTGTGTATGGGGCTGCGTAGACGCAGAACGGTGCCCATGCTGACCCTTGTCCACTGCCGAAAGCACTTACAATGGGCATGTGAGCATCAGAACTGGATCACAGTGCAATGGAAGAAGGTGGCCTGGTCTGATGAATCACATTTTCTTTTACATCATGTGAATGGCTGAGTGCATGTGTGTCACTTACCTGGGGCAGAGAGAGCACCAGCCCTATGGGAAGAAGGCTTGCTGGCGGAGGAAGTGCAATGCTTTTGGCATAGTTCTGCTGGGAAACTTTGGGTCCTGCCATTCATATGGCTGTTACTTTCACATGTACCAACTACCTAAACATTGTTGCTGACCAAGTACACCCCTTCATGGAAATGGTATTCACTGATGGGAGTGGCCTCTTTCAGCAGGATAATGCACCCTGTCACACTGCAAAAATGGTCCAAGAATGGTTTGAGGAATATAACAATGAGTTTGAGATGTTGACTTGGCTTCCAATTTCTCCAATCCAATTGAGCATCTGTGTGATGTGCTGGAAAAACAAGTCCAATCCATGGAGGCCCCACCTCGCAACTTACAGGATCTGCTACTGATGGCTTGGTACCAGATGCTGTGCCACAGCATACCTTCAGAGGTCTAGTAGAGTCCATGCCTCGATAGATCAGGGCTATTTTGATGGCAAAAGGGGACCTACTCAATATTAGGCGGGTGGTCATAATGTTATGGCTGATCACTGTATGCTAATGAGATCAGACATAGGGTACACATGTATATGTATTCATCTCTACTTTACCATACACAGATTCAAAGGAAATGTGTAGTCTTCTCAATGTTTTATTAGAGAACCCCTATCAACATGTGCTTGTGTTTACAAAACATGTTTCTGTGTTTAATTTGCAAGTGTATATATATTGTGAAATTTGAGCTTTAGGGCAGCGTTGCCCAACACAGTTCCAACAAATGGACTGGGCAATTTGCCTTATGATGAAATACCAGACCCCACAATATGCTGCATTGCATAGAGTTGGATCAAATGTCATTTAGGCCTAAAACTGAGAATTTCACAAGAGCTCAGTCCACTCAGCAGAATGTAGAGGCTGCAGATAAGAAGGAGATTGAGGACTTTGTCATAAGTCTATTTCTCTATCTTAAAGTGACCCTAAACTCAACACTTAAATCCTAAAAATACATTCAAGTACTCTAACTATTAACAAAAATGTTTCTTATTTGTGTATCACTCGGCTGTAGATCCTTAAATCATCTCTGAATTGAAGCTGACACTGTCCTTCCTTCTGGAGGGTGGCTACCTTTGTTCCCCATGATACCCATGTGTGTTGTAAAGTAGCCATCACTCCAAGCTTGCTCCCGTGATGGACTACAATCTCACGTTTAGTTTACTAATTTTGTATTGAAATGAAAGCATATAACAGAAGTGAACTTGGCTACTTTACAACACACACAAGGACCATGGCAAACAAAGGTAGCCACCCTCCAGAAGGAAGGACAGTGTCAGCATCAATTCAGAGATGATTTGAGGATCTACAGCTGAGAGATACACAAATAAGCTACATTTTATTAATACGGTACATGAATGCATTTTTAAGATTTGACTCCTGCATTTTTTGTCACTTTAAAGGGGAAATACTGTATATCAGTGGTCTGTTTATAACATCAGGTATTATTTTGTGCTTATTGAACAGATATTACAAAGTAACTTCATTGGCATATTTAACAGACCAAAAGTGAGCAAATGAGAAAAGTTCTTTGTTAGAGTTTACAGACATTTAATGCTATAGCTAAACCATAGAGACCGTCATGGTGACCTAAAACTAGCATTTGTATGGAGGGTTTTCAAGGAATTGAGAGGAGGCTTGAACATGTCAAGGTAAATGATGAAAGAGGACAGTAAGGACATGGTAAGGTGCTGAGGTTTTGCAAAAGGGGATGTGGGGAGAGATTTCATGGGACAAGGCTAACCACTGTCTCCGTAAACTCCTGTATCTTTGATGGCCTTATATGATGGCCTGCAGTTGCTTCTTGTATACCTTAATCAAGGGATATTTTCAAGGTACGTAAAAGGAAAATAATTTGAAGAAACAGCGTGTGTTTCAGCGTAGACCACGTAGGTCAGGGGACAGAACGTTCGGTTACAAATTGAACATTATTTATGCATTTTAAAGTTCTTAAGGAAGTGTGACTGTGGTGTTTAAAAAAAAAGAAAAGTGCAGCAATGTGTTTTTTTCTTAATGTGCTGCTTCACATTGCTTTCCACAAAGTGTTTTTTTCAACCTGAAAATGTTTTTCTCTTTTTTATTTTATCTTGCAGGACTCATGTCATCATAGCCGATCTAAGACCTATCCATTTGACTTTAAAAATGTGAAAATTAATATTCTCAATAACATTGATCACCGAGAACCTTTACAGCATAGAGTGAAAAAGAATGATGTACCTAAAATAGAAAGGGGTAAGACTGTTATGATGATATTCATATCTTCTACTAGATGTACAAGTAACTAGAAGTAATACAAAAGCAGTTTTCAGACTTTTTATATCCTCTCTTATTATTACAGTGCTTCCATTTCTATTTGTTCCTTCAAATATAATAGTCTTTACTTAGCATTGCATCTGACATCTGCATATTGCTTTTCTCTCAGGCTACATTCACCACTAAGGGCTCATTTACAATGGTATTGATAATTGCGATTTTTATGAGTTTTTAGGACATTTCTAAATCCATATAAATGTACATAGTGAATTTCTAATGATATATTTCACACTCTGCATTTACCTGTGTTCCATTTAGTTGCATTTAGAGAAAATAGATTTCCCAGGGGCAGATACTCTGAATGCGTCTTAATGCACATAAACACATGTCAACGCAAGGCAAGTGCGTTTAACTCAGGAGAACTTGATTTGGGAAATGTAAAAGTTGCTTATACTTATCAGATCATTTCTCCCGCATTTAAATAACCTAAATGCAGAAACCTAGTGTGCACGTAGTCTAGTGGACTGGAAATGTTGCTTCTTGTTGATGACAATAAAGTGTTCGGTCTTCTGATTTGAATATGATGTGCTGGTGATATCTTGGATTGGGACTTATGTTGTGGCGGTGCCATCCACCATTTCACCTTGAAACCCTTTTTTGATCGGGTCTGAATGCTGTATGGAGTGTGCTGGACTTATGTAGCCTAAGTGGTTCCCATCAGTAAGGCTGGATTCAATGTTTGAAATGCAATCAGTGTTGTGCTTTTTAAATCTGTTTCTAAAGGCATACAGCATACTATGTAGAAACGCATTTTATGCATTTTAATGCACTGCCATTCAAAAGTATATGTCCCAGCAGTAAGATGTGCATTCCAACTCACACAGCCAACTCCCTGGTATCCATGCCATCATGAGTGTCTCGTGCCTCTGTTATACTCAGCAATTAATGCATCTCTGTTACACATAGTATACAGGTGGTTCTCGGTTTACAATGGTTCAATTTGCACCTTTTTCTGGGAGTGTTGTAAATTGAAACCAACTAATATAATGTATGTTAATGGGAAGTGAGGTAGTTAGGTTCCAGGCCTCTCTCAAAACAAGGAATGGTTCTAAATAGGAACTGGTGTAAACTGAAACCCAGTAAATAAATGTAGTTAGGAAGATAGGGTCCAAGCCTCTCTCACTGACATAAAATTGACATAAGTAACATAATACAGGTATAGTTTATTTAAAGCTCCTTGTGTGAGCTCATGCAGCAGCTTTAGATATAATGTGCCTGTATTTTATTACTTACGTTCCAGACCTTTCTCAAAATCGACATAACTCCCTCGCTTCCCATTGACTTACATTATATAATTGTTTTCAATTTACACCGGTTTCTATTTACAACCATTCCCTCAGGCACCTAACCCCAGTGTAAATTGAGGGCTACCTTTTATTTCTTCTGCCTACTTGCTGGCTAGGTCCTGGCCTCATAACTCTGTTATACACAGTGACTTATGCCTCTGTTTTTCATGCAATTCCTCATGCTTCTCTGTTGCACGTAATGGGCCATACTCTATGGTTACGCTCAGTCCTCCGTATGCAGCAGGGAAATCTTTTTATTCCCACTAGTCCAGAATGAGATGCTATACAATCTAATAAGATTGTTTGGATGATATCTCCTTCTTTTATACCATTTAACCTAAACTACCTATTTAAGGAACAGGCGCACATTTGCCAATACTTTTATTAAAGCTAAATTCAAGGCAAGCAACAAACTATACAGTTGAACTACATGTATGGTAAAGAATTTACCTAAGGATTTGTATTTCTGTGCTTCCAGTTTTTGGAATGTAGATACCCTTGTCAGACAGCACAGCCAGATCATCCAATTCTACTGCGGCAACAGTAAAACTTGTGTACCAAGACTTCGTGATAGTGGAATGTTAACAAACAGAATTTCCAATATTTGATTTTACTGATTATTTATTCACAGGAGTTCAAACAGTAAAGGAAATGCCGGTGATTTGTTTGAAGCGGGATTCTAGCCAGCAAACTGAGTGAGTACTTTGCAAATAACGATTATCTAAATACAATACATACAAAATATGCAGACATATGTTATGTCTAAAAGAAAAGGGTACTGTATTTCCAATGGGCACATATTTTGAGTTAAAAATGAAGGATCTACCATTAGTGGCTCATTGCTATCACAGTTCTTCCTGCTATAACTAGTACATTGTTTCTGCCAACTCCTATCTTGCATTGGGAAATAAATAAAAACACATTCACTGTGTTGCACTTCAAATTGGGGATCAGAGCCTGCATATTTAATGATCATATATTTCTGCCTCCATGTACTTGTATAATTACAAATTATGGTAGTGGGTTACTGTGCATTGTAGGGCATTCAAAATTAAATTAAACGAAATGCAGGACTTAAACCTTTAAAATGCATTCAAGTACCCTAACTTTTAACAAAAGTGTAGCTTATTTGTGAATCACTTGGCTGTAAATCCTGAAATCCCCATGGTCCTTGTGTGTGTTGTAATGTAGTCACCGCTCCAAGCTCCTTTCCGTGATCAACTATAACTTCAATACAAATTAGTTAACTAAACGTGAGATTGTAGTGCATCCCAAAAGCGAGCTTGGAGTCGTGGCTATGTTACAACACACAGGGACCATGGAGAAAAAAAGTAACCACCCTACAGAAGGAAGGACAGTGCCGGCACCAATTCAGAGATGATTTGAGGATCTACAGCTGAGTGATACACAAAAAGGGGCCAGTATTGATAATAGTTAGGGCACTTGAATGCATTTTTAAAATTTAACTCCTGAGTTTAGTGTCACTTTAATGGCACCCTAACACAGCACATGTACACGGTGTGTTTCCACATGGACAGAGAATACCTAAGGCACTATCACAGAGCACTGTGGCTATTTTAAAGAGAAAGTGTAACAGAAGTTGTTTTCACTGAGAATCACCCTCTCTGATTTAAAACTCTGTACAGCCCTGCTTTTGGGCCTGGTTATATCAGGATGCATACATTCATGTGTGTTGCATTGACATGTGTTGGTATATGTTGAGGAGCTTTTACATGTTTTTTTGCAAAACTTGATATCAACCCAAAGCTGCATGTACAGTAAGGAACTCAAAATGCGGCATGCAGGACTGCTCCAGGGCAATGCCTTCGTAAAAAAACAGACTCTCGAAAACAATGGATATTCTGTCCCTGCAGTTCCCTAAAAAAAAAAAAAAAAAATCTGGTGGGGAACAGCCCAAAACCGAGCACAGAGGAGGGAATAAGTCATTACACTGGCTCATACAGTTGTGTGCGTAAAATTCAACTTTAGCTATTGAGTTCTATAAACAGGCTTTTGTTTAGTAAAAATGTTACACAGCTTGTGAAGCATAGAAAAAGAACCTTGCGGTTTTACCTATTGGTTGGAAATTTTAAAAACATTTCTTATGCAATATGTCATATATACTTGATTTTAAAAATTACATTTAATTTTAGTCCTGACCAAAATAAATAAAGAACATATACACAAGAAAGTTGTTTACTTTTTGAACATACTACAAACTGCAATCTCACTTGAAATGTGTTTAGAGCAAGGGTATCCAAACTTTGGTCCTCCAGCTGTTGCGGAACTGCAAATCCCATAAGGTGGAAATTTGGCTACCCCTGGCCTAGCTCATCTGATTTAACCAAGGCGTTTTTGGGGAGAAGGACCCCCCTGCCTCAGGGCTTGAAGAGCGGTTAGTGAAACAATCCAGATGAAATGATATAGGGGTCTAAATTTGAGGCTGGATTGAAACCAGTGTGCCCTAACGGTACTGTAAATAGTCAAGATGGGATGTTTGTACCAGGAGCTCCTAAACACTCACCCAGAAGTTGTTCATCTGTTGGGTGATTGGACTACCGTGTTCAGAGAGGCAGCACTCTAGGCGTTGAACTGAAGTCTCTCCTATACCATAAGTTCACGTTGGCAAAAAAAATACTTTTATTTCTTAAAATGAATTGCTACTCTCATCAGGCCAGTTATATCACATACCTAACAGATCTCTGTTGTGTCTGAGACCTGTCCCCTTACATGGACAAGAAGGAAATCTCTCCAATGAAAAAACCAAATGGCAATACAAATCTGAAAGAGGTTCCAACTCTTCCCTTTTCTACCTAAAATGTATTTGAATTACTCTTTGTCCTCTCGCCTTCACGTTTGCCTCGATACTTATGAAATAGACTAGAAATCTACCCAGTGGAACATACTCAGCATTAAAAAAACTCTTACCCATTTTAAGGGCTCGTTCACACCAGCCCGTGCGCATTATGCTCCATACAACGCCCTTGCTCTGTTGTGCGCTTTAATGGGGAATGTGATGTGTTTTTACAACACACTGTTTACCGTTCTTCCTTTTTTTTTTTTTCTTAATTTTTTTTAAATATCACAAAATGATACTTCATTCAGCACTGTGCACAATAACAATATGCTGTGTTGCATTGTATCGAGTGTAAAAATAAAATGCAGACCTGCTGAAATTTTATGCAACGCACACCAAGGCACCTATATGATAATGTATGGCAGAGAAAAGTATTTGTTAGGTCCCTGCTATTCATATTTCTCTAAGATTTCATGACTGATTTTTTTGTTTTGTATTTCCTTACAGTTGTGCCATATCTGTCTTGAATGGTGTAAGTATCCGGATCTTGTGTTTTCTATGTAAGAGCAGTACTACATATGCTGTTGGTATACATTTTGCTTTGTTGTGGTATTTGCCAGGATGAAAACAGGTGTATTCAGGGCATTTCATTCCTGTGTTGTGATCTTTTTTACAGATACAGTGGGTTTTCGTAGCTGGTATCATGCTTTGCAATTGGGAGCTTGTGGAGTTAGGGGGCCCTTTTCTTGAAGTCCAATTATGTGCATTGGTAGAGTCTTATTGCAGAAACATGTGTATCATTGTCTGGAGTGTTGATACCTTTTGGCTGCCTAGGACAGTCATGTCCTTAGCAGTGGGACTGGTGCCTGCTTGTATACACAGGCATTCGTTGGAAGCAAGCAAAATTAACCTATGATGATGCATGCTATCAGGTATGTCCAGGAAAGATGTATCACTTTTAACTCCAAGAAGTATGTTTTTGTGCAAACTAATGTTGGTCCAGCTTGGCTCAATGCAACCATGCATATCTGATATCTGGAAGGCCGCCAGTGATCCTGAAAATCACTCTTAGTAGTCTGTAGTACAATCCGTGATAGCCGTGAAAAATGCACAGCAAACCATTTCTTTTGTTTATTTTTTCTTAGAAAATAAAATTTTCAGCTTTTTTAAAATTCCTTTTTTGCCTCTCAGTGCTGCTGCTCTAGCCTCTTTCAGCCAATTCTGTCCATATGCACATGCTCCAGCATTGTCTTTATGTCATAGCTCAGAGTGTGCTACCTGATAGTGGCAGAGGTGCATTGTCACAACCACTTATTGTCTTCACTGGAAGCACTTGAGAGCAAATGGGAGACAGGGACGGAGACTTGTCACCTCATAACAGGAAGTGCCTAAACAATGGCCTTAATGGCAGGATCACCAGGTATTGTTTATATGAAAGCTGCAGATATAGAAAGATAGAACATTTTATTTTTTTAGGTATTTAGAGATTTTATTGAATGGACTTAGATCTGCTTTAAATGTTGGTCTACAGTGTGTGGTGAGGTAACGTTCAGAATAGCATTCAAATTCTCTTCCAGCTGATTATAAATGCTCTATCAAATGGTGCTCCTAAATGCCCCTCATTAAAGTCATACACTTGGCTGCATTTTGGGCCAGTTTGTAAAAGAACTTGGAACATAGGGTGCCACAGGTTGTGTCTAGTAAATATTCCTCAACTGGGTATCAAGAAAGTGAATGAGGATTCTAATTTGTAGCATAATGACGATGGACATAGAAATTGTGAGGGGAGTAGAGGAGCTCAAATAGAGAGTATGATGGATAAAGTAGAGAACAGTGAAGACTGTCTTTGGCACAGAAATTAAGAATCGGTAGGTTCAAACAGCACAGAAGAGTACTTTGGCTTTCCTGCAGCACTACACAAATCTATGCAATATTTTAAAATTGCTAGAAAAAAATGTGCATGAATGCATACTTGCAAAAGTGTCTTTCAGCAACTGCGTGTAGAGTATATGTACATCATGTGGTGTACAAGTGCACAAGCAGTACCGTAGAATATATTACCTTGATCTGTTTTAGCTGCCTAGTAATGTTTACCTCTGTAGTGCCTCCTAGTGCAACCTTAAAGCTTCCTTTATGTGATTTTTTTACTTCTCCTTGCCTTCAATCCCGCCCACCAGCAGGAGGCAAAGAGTCTGAGAAGGACTAGGTAAGATGGTGGCTAGCAGTTCAAGAACACAATGTAGGGTAGAATATAAAACAAATATATTTATTGAAAATGCACCTTGCACTCCACAGCTTTTAAAGCTGCCCATACACCTTACAATTATCTGCAGATTTTCTGTGGTCAGATGGAAAAGGTGCAACAGATTCCTCCATCTACACTTAACTTTGTGGATGGAGTAATCTCCACCTGGGCCAATCTGTTGCACTTTTTCCATCTGACCACAGAAAATCTGCAGATAATGGTAAGGTGTATGGGCACCTTAAGCCCTATGTGACAGTTCCCCTTTTTTTTTTTCCCCCCCCCCCCCTCAACTATTCACTCCCAACTTAAACCGTTAGGCTTGGCAAAAAAAAACCAAAACTAAGGAAAAAATATTTCCTTTAGAACCCATCTTCTGACCTGTTTGCTTAGGAGAGAGTAAGGATCCCAAATATCATAAGTAGGAGTACAATTCTTGCAATATTTGGCTACCCAGGAATGAGGGTGATATTTGTATGCCAGGGTGTCCTCATATCTGTAGTGTAGGGGTTTAGAAATTGAAAAGTAACCTGACAGTAAGCTGACAGGGTTAGCTTAAGATTTATTTTTCTAGGCTTACTATAAATCATACCATAACATTATTATGAAGG